GTCTGTGAGTGTGCGAGTGTGTGAGTCTGTGAGTGTGCGAGTCACTGCGTGCGAGTCTGTGAGTGTGTGAGTCTGTGAGTTTGTGAGTCTGTGAGTGTGCGAGTGTGTGAGTGTGCGAGTCTGTGAGTGTGTGAGTCTGTGAGTGTGCGAGTCACTGCGTGCGAGTCTGTGAGTGTGCGAGTCTCTGCGTGCGAGTCTATGAGTGTGCGAGTCTCTGCGTGTGAGTCTGTGAGTGTGTGAGTCTCTGCGTGTGAGTCTGAGTGTGCGAGTGTCTGCATGTGAGTCGGTGAGTGTGTGAGTCTGTGAGTGTGCGAGTGTGTGAGTGTGAGTGTGCGAGTCACTGCGTGCGAGTCTGTGAGTGTGTGAGTCTGTGTGTGTGTGAGTCTGTGAGTGTGCGAGTCTCTGCGTGTGAGTCTGTGAGTGTGCGAGTCTCTGCGTGTGAGTCTGTAAGTGTGCGATTCTCTGCGTGTGAGTCTGAGTGTGCGAGTCTCTGCGTGTGAGTCTGTGAGTGTGTGAGTCTGTGAGTGTGAGTCTGTGAGTGTGCGAGTCTCTGCGTGTGAGTGTGTGAGTCTCTGCGTGCGAGTCTGTGAGTGTGCGAGTCTCTGCGTGTGAGTCTGAGTGTGCGAGTCTCTGTGTGTGAGTCGGTGAGTGTGTGAGTCTGTGAGTGCGCGAGTGTGTGAGTCTGTGAGTGTGCGAGTCACTGCGTGCGAGTCTGTGAGTGTGTGAGTCTGTGAGTGTGTGAGTCTGTGAGTGTGCGAGTGTGTGAGTGTGCGAGTCTGTGAGTGTGTGAGTCTGTGAGTGTGCGAGTCACTGCGTGCGAGTCTGTGAGTGTGCGAGTCTCTGCGTGCGAGTCTATGAGTGTGCGAGTCTCTGCGTGTGAGTCTGTGAGTGTGTGAGTCTCTGCATGTGAGTCTGAGTGTGCGAGTCTCTGCATGTGAGTCGGTGAGTGTGTGAGTCTGTGAGTGTGCGAGTTTGTGAGTGTGAGTGTGCGAGTCACTGCGTGCGAGTCTGTGAGTGTGTGAGTCTGTGAGTGTGTGAGTCTGTGAGTGTGCGAGTGTGTGAGTGTGCGAGTCTGTGAGTGTGCGAGTGTGTGAGTGTGCGAGTGTGTGAGTCTGTGAGTGTGCGAGTCTCTGCGTTCGAGTCTATGAGTGTGCGAGTCTCTGCGTGTGAGTCTGTGAGTGTGTGAGTCTCTGCGTGTGAGTCTGAGTGTGCGAGTCTCTGCATGTGAGTCGGTGAGTGTGTGAGTCTGTGAGTGTGCGAGTGTGTGAGTGTGAGTGTGCGAGTCATTGCGTGCGAGTCTGTGAGTGTGTGAGTCTGTGAGTGTGTGAGTCTGTGCGTGTGAGTGTGCGAGTCTGTGAGTGTGCGAGTCACTGTGTGCGAGTCTGTGAGTGTGCGAGTCTCTGCGTGCGAGTCTATGAGTGTGCGAGTCTCTGCGTGTGAGTCTGTGAGTGTGTGAGTCTCTGCATGTGAGTCTGAGTGTGCGAGTCTCTGCATGTGAGTCGGTGAGTGTGTGAGTCTGTGAGTGTGCGAGTGTGTGAGTGTGAGTGTGCGAGTCACTGCGTGCGAGTCTGTGAGTGTGTGAGTCTGTGAGTGTGTGAGTCTGTGAGTGTGAGTGTGCGAGTCTGTGAGTGTGCGAGTCACTGCGTGCGAGTCTGTGAGTGTGTGAGTCTGTGAGTGTGAGTCTGTGAGTGTGAGTCTGTGAGTGTGCGAGTCTCTGCGTGTGAGTCTGAGTGCGTGAGTCTGTGAGTGTGCGAGTCTCTGCGTGTGCGAGTCTGAGTGTGTGAGTCTGAGTGTGTGAGTCTGTGAGTGTGCCAGTCACTGCGTGCGAGTCTGTGAGTGTGCGAGTCTCTGAGTGTGTGAGTCTCTGAGTGTGTGAGTCTCTGCATGAGCCTGCGTGTGGTGAGTTTGCAGCTCAATCACCTGCTCACTCACACGCACGTGAGACTGTGAGCATGTGAGACTCTCTGAGCATGTGAGCCACTGTGTAAGGGTGTGAGTGTGCGAGTTGTGCGTGTATTGAGTCTACATGTGGTGAGTCTGCGTTTGAGTCTGCAGCTCAATCAGTTGTTCGCTCACATGCAAGCGAAACTGTGAATGTGGGAGTCTGTGTGTGGCGAGTCTGCATGTGAGTCTGTGAGTGTGCGAGTCTCTGCGTGTGAGTCTGTGAGTGCGTGAGTCTGTGAGTGTGCGAGTCTCTGCGTGTGCGAGTCTGAGTGTGTGAGTCTGTGATTGTGCGAATCTCTGCGTGTGAGTCTGTGAGTGTGCGAGTCTCTGCGTGTGAGTCTGTGAGTGTGCGAGTCTCTGCGTGTGAGTTTCTGCGTGCGAGTCTCTGCGTGTGAGTCTGTGAGTGTGCGAGTCTCTGCGTGCGAGTCTGTGAGTGTGTGAGTCTGTGAGTGTGCGAGTGTGCGAGTGTGTGAGTGTGCGAGTGTGTGAGTCTGTGAGTGTGCGAGTCTCTGCGTGTGAGTCAGTGAGTGTGCGAGTCTCTGCGTGCGAGTCTCTGCGTGCGAGTCTCTGCGTGCGAGTCTGTGAGTGTGAGTCTGTGAGTGTGCGAGTCTCTGCGTGTGAGTCTGTGAGTGCGTGAGTCTGTGAGTGTGCGAGTCTCTGCGTGTGCGAGTCTGTGAGTGTGTGAGTCTGTGAGGGTGCGAGTCACTGCGTGCGAGTCTGTGAGTGTGCGAGTCTCTGCGTGTGAGTCTGTGAGTGTGCGAGTCTCAGCGTGTGAGTGTGTGAGTCTCTGCGTGCGAGTCTGTGAGTGTGCGAGTCTCTGCGTGTGAGTCTGTGAGTGTGCGAGTCTCTGCGTGTGAGTCTGTGAGTGTGCGATTCTCTGCGTGTGAGTCTGAGTGTGCGAGTCTCTGCGTGTGAGTCTGTGAGTATGTGAGTCTGTGAGTGTGAGTCTGTGAGTGTGCGAGTCTCTGCGTGTGAGTCTGAGTGTGCGAGTCTCTGTGTGTGAGTCGGTGAGTGTGTGAGTCTGTGAGTGCGCGAGTGTGTGAGTCTGTGAGTGTGCGAGTCACTGCGTGCGAGTCTGTGAGTGTGTGAGTCTGTGAGTGTGTGAGTCTGTGAGTGTGCGAGTGTGTGAGTGTGCGAGTCTGTGAGTGTGTGAGTCTGTGAGTGTGCGAGTCACTGCGTGCGAGTCTGTGAGTGTGCGAGTCTCTGCGTGCGAGTCTATGAGTGTGCGAGTCTCTGCGTGTGAGTCTGTGAGTGTGTGAGTCTCTGCATGTGAGTCTGAGTGTGCGAGTCTCTGTATGTGAGTCGGTGAGTGTGTGAGTCTGTGAGTGTGCGAGTGTGTGAGTGTGAGTGTGCGAGTCACTGCGTGCGAGTCTGTGAGTGTGTGAGTCTGTGAGTGTGTGAGTCTGTGAGTGTGAGTGTGCGAGTCTGTGAGTGTGCGAGTCACTGCGTGCGAGTCTGTGAGTGTGTGAGTCTGTGAGTGTGAGTCTGTGAGTGTGAGTCTGTGAGTGTGCGAGTCTCTGCGTGTGAGTCTGAGTGCGTGAGTCTGTGAGTGTGCGAGTCTCTGCGTGTGCGAGTCTGAGTGTGTGAGTCTGAGTGTGTGAGTCTGTGAGTGTGCCAGTCACTGCGTGTGAGTCTGTGAGTGTGCGAGTCTCTGAGTGTGTGAGTCTCTGAGTGTGTGAGTCTCTGCATGAGCCTGCGTGTGGTGAGTTTGCAGCTCAATCACCTGCTCACTCACACGCACGTGAGACTGTGAGCATGTGAGACTCTCTGAGCATGTGAGCCACTGTGTAAGGGTGTGAGTGTGCGAGTTGTGCGTGTATTGAGTCTACATGTGGTGAGTCTGGGTTTGAGTCTGCAGCTCAATCAGTTGTTCGCTCACATGCAAGCGAAACTGTGAATGTGGGAGTCTGTGTGTGGCGAGTCTGCGTGTGGCGAGTCTACAGCTCGATCACCTGCTCGCTCGCACGCCCATGACACTGAGCGTGCAAGTCTATGAGTCTGCCCGAATCTGTGAGTCTGAGACTGACAGTTTGCGTGTCTCTCTATGTGAGTGGGTGTGTCTGAGTGAGTCTACGTGAGATTGAGAATCTACATGCGTCTGTGTGTGTCTCTATGCGTCTCTGTGTGAGTCTGAGTTTGCGTGTGTGTCTCTGGGAGTCTGAGTGAGTCTGTGAGAGTCTGTGAGGATGAATGTGTCTCTGTGAGCCTCTGTGTGAGTCTGTATGAGTCTTTAGTCTGCGTGTGTGTATCTGGGAGTCTGAGTAAGCAAGTGAGCCCGAGTCAGTCTGTGAGGGTCTACGTGTGTCATTGGGAGTCTCTGTGTGACTGAGTGAGAGTCTGTGGCCGTGTGTGTCTCTGTGAGTCTTGTGTGACTGAGTGAGTCTGAGTGAGAGTCTGTGGCAGTGTGAGTCTCTGTGAGTCTCTGTGCGAGTGAGGTGGAGGGGGGGTTGCTCACCTCTCGGAGTTCCCGGATCTGCTCGGTGAGCCCCCCGATCTCCGAGTAGGAGACCTGGCCCGGGTCTTCGTGGGACATGTTGTACACCAGCGGGTCCACCTCTCTGGGCAGGTACCTGGGGAGAATCACGGCAGGGCCTCGCTCACCCAACCACTCACCAACTCACCCACTCATTCACCCCCCCCCTCACTCGCTCAGCCACCCACTCAACCACCACCCCCCCCCCCCCACTCACTCGCTCAGCCACCTACTCACCAACTCACCCACTCATTCACCCACTCACTCACTCAGCCAATCACTCAACACCACCCCCCCACTCACTAACTCGCCCACCCACTCACCCACTCACTCGCTCAGCCACTCACTCAACCACTCAACCACCCACTCACTCAGCCACTCAGATATGACGATGGTTCTAATGGTGGTGTGCTAATGGTGGCGGTAGTGATCATGGTGGTGATGGTGATGATGGTGGTTGTGATGATTGTGATGATTGCAATGATGATGATGCAGTGGAAGAGCAGCTTTAACCCTGTCTAGGAAATTCCACATTCACATGGCAAGGGCAGGAGATACAGTGGGCAGCACTGGGTGACCCCACCTCATGATGGTTAACGTGGTCATGTCCAGGGCCACTCGGGTTCCTGCCTTCAACTTTGACTTGTCCAGCTACAGAGAGAGACAGACAGATCTACAAAGAGACAGATACTGAGAGATATATCTAGTCACACTGAGACATACATAGATATCGAGAGCGACGGAAATATGTAGACATATATATAGACACAGAGATAGACAAAAACTGAGATAAATGATATACTGAGAAAAAGATCCACACAGATACAGAGACAGACATGAAGATAGATACGCAGATACAGTGAGAGGTACAGATATAGAAGCACATGAGGGAGTGGTGTCACCAGCACCGTACCTGGCCACCTTTGCCTCCCAGTGCTGACGTTTAACACACTGAAGGCGCTTATTTTGAGGCCAAGTCTACCTAGAGGAGGCCCACGACTGGTACTGATATTTGCAGTCACTATCCACTGCACCACCACTACCCAACACAAAGACAAAGGTGCCCCGCACAGCCTATAACAGACTGTTGGGGCAAGTGCTGTTAGTGAGGAGCAGCGCCTATGAAGGCCGGCTCTGTGGCACGCGAGGGGGTGAGTGGCCTGCACCACGCCCGGTCGCCTTCGTCTCCCAGTGGTAACGTTGACGACACACCACTCCTTCGGATAATCACTTGAGGGCTGAGTGGACCTAGGGGAGGCCCAGGACCGGTTTGATTAATCGCTATCACTGATGGTGTTGGTGGCGGTCGTGAGCCAGAATCGAACTTTGGGTCTCTGCTGGGGTTCGCAGCGCAGCACAGTGCTAACCGCTGCGCCACAGCTCCCCTAAAGACACACACAGCACACACAGCCTACACGGGATACACAGCCTACACGGGACACACAGCACACACAGCCTACACGGGACACACAGCCTACACGGGACACACAGCACACACAGCCTACACGGGACACACAGCACACACAGCATACACGGGACACACAGCCTACACGGGACACACAGCACACACAGCCTACACGGGACACACAGCACACACAGCATACACGGGACACACAGCACACACAGCCTACACGGGACACACAGCACACACAGCATACACGGGACACACAGCACACACAGCCTACACGGGACACACAGCACACACAGCCTACACGGGACACACAGCCTACACGGGACACACAGCACACACAGCCTACACGGGACACACAGCACACACAGCACACACAGCATACACGGGACACACAGCACACACAGCCTACACGGGACACACAGCACACACAGCCTACACGGGACACACAGCACACATGGGACACAGCCTACACGGGACACACAGCACACATAGCCTACACGGGACACACAGCACACACACGCTACACGGGACACGCAGCACACACAGCCTACACGGGACACACAGTACACACAGCCTACACGGTACACACAGCACACACAGCCTACACGGTACACACAGCACACATGGGACACAGCCTACACGGGACACAGCACACATGGGACACAGCCTACACGGGACACACAGCACACATAGCCTACACGGGACACACAGCACACACAGTCTACACGGGACGCACAGCACACACGGGACACAGCCTACACGGGACACACAGTACACACGAGACACACAGCACACACGGGACACACAGCCTACACGGGACACACAGCACACACAGCATACACGGGACACACAGCACACACAGCCTACACGGGACACACAGCACACACAGCATACACGGGACACACAGCACACACAGCCTACACGGGACACACAGCACACACAGCCTACACGGGACACACAGCCTACACGGGACACACAGCACACACAGCCTACACGGGACACACAGCACACACAGCACACACAGCATACACGGGACACACAGCACACACAGCCTACACGGGACACACAGCACACACAGCCTACACGGGACACACAGCACACATGGGACACAGCCTACACGGGACACACAGCACACATAGCCTACACGGGACACACAGCACACACACGCTACACGGGACACGCAGCACACACAGCCTACACGGGACACACAGTACACACAGCCTACACGGTACACACAGCACACACAGCCTACACGGTACACACAGCACACATGGGACACAGCCTACACGGGACACAGCACACATGGGACACAGCCTACACGGGACACACAGCACACATAGCCTACACGGGACACACAGCACACACAGTCTACACGGGACGCACAGCACACACGGGACACAGCCTACACGGGACACACAGTACACACGAGACACACAGCACACACGGGACACACAGCACACATGGGACACAGCCTACACGGGACACACAGCACACATGGGACACAGCCTACACGGGACACACAGCACACACAGCCTACACGGGACACACAGCACACATGGGACACACAGCACACACGGGACACACAGCACACACGGGACACACAGTACACACGAGACACACAGCACACACGGGACACACAGCACACATGGGACACACAGCACACACGGGACACACAGCACACACGGGACACAAAGTACACACGAGACACACAGCACACACAGGACACACAGCACACATGGGACACAGCCTACACGGGACACACAGCACACATGGGACACAGCACACACGGGACACACAGCACACACGGGACACACAGCACACATGGGACACAGCCTACACGGGACACACAGCACACATGGGACACAGCCTACACGGGACACACAGCACACACGGGACACACAGCACACATGGGACACAGCCTACACGGGACACACAGCACACATGGGACACAGCCTACACGGGACACACAGCACACATGGGGACACAACGCACACACATCACGCACGAGGACACAGCACACATGAGACACCGCCTACACGGGACACACAGCACACATGGGACACACAACACACATGGGACACAGTCTACACGGACACACAGCACACATGGGGACACAAAGCACACACAGCACGCACGGGGACACACAGCACACATGGGACACAGCCTACACGGGACACACAGCACACACAGCCTACACGGGACACACAGCACACATGGGACACACAGCACACACGGGACACAGCCTACACGGGACACACAGCACACATGGGACACAGCCTACACGGGACACACAGCACACATGGGACACACAGCACACATGGGACACACAGCACACATGGGGACACAAAGCACACACAGCACGCACGGGGACACACAGCACACATAGGACACAGCCTACACGGGACACACAGCACACATGGGATACAGCCTACACGGGACACACAGCACACATGGGACACACAGCACACATGGGGACACAAAGCACACACAGCACGCACGGGGACACACAGCACACAAGGAGACATACAGCACACACAGAGATACAAAGAACACACGAGCCACACAGGGGACACACAGCACATGTGGAGTGCTCTGTCCCGCGGTGGCGAGATGTTGACTACCTCGCCTGGTATGCAGGAGGACATGGGTTCGATCACAACCCCGACAATGCTTGCTGCTGTATATTTGGAGTCTGCGTCTCTCTCACCCCGTGGTCACATGGATTTTTCTCCGGGTCCTCCAGTTTTTCCGTCCACATTTAGAATCAACGTCACGCGTTTAAGGGTATTTGGCTGCTATAAATGTCCACGTGATAATCCACTTCGTTGAGCTATCATTTGTGATAGCCAAGTCACTTCTAAATACAGCTACATAGCTCAGTGGGCCTTACCTAGTAAAATTAATATAATGTATAGTTTTATAGTCACCTGTCTGCGACATCCGACCACATAGCGAGGCCCATTGGTAGCCTTCACGATAACTGAGACACAGAGGGAGAGAAATCATTGTCAATATCATGAACATCACAATACCTGGGACACACATACAGGCCGGCATTCTCACTCACAGACATACACATATACACCACAACAACACCACTAGGTGGTGGTGACATCATCACCACGGTGCTTGTGCCAGGCCAGGTGCCCTTTCCGGCCACGTGCAGTGTCAAAGGCTCGCCGACAGGAGGTCACAGGACAGGACCCAGGTGCCACATGGGTTGACCGACTGAGATGACCGACAGATGCTTCCCACTAAGCCAATTTCTTGCGTTTCCGCCGTCTGGAGTTCTGCTCGTTCTTCTGAGTATTGCTCCTTCGTCCTCCATCTGGGTTAAACCCAGGGTGGATCGTAGGCAGGCCAGCCTGAATGTTTCAAACCGGCGCAGAGGTTCCATTCCTCCAGTCTAAATAAAGATTCTGATTCTGACGGAGAAGTCTCAATGCTTCGCGAGCATAGAGAAGGGAGGGCATAACAATGGCCGAAAAGACCCGAAGCTTCATGTGGAGCGACAGGCCAGGTAACTTTCACACAGCGTTACGCAGCCAATGAAGAGATGTCACCAGACGAATTCCGAGTGAGACCTCCGTTGCCAAACCAGATTTGGTCATAAGCACACTGCCCAGGTACGGGAACTACTCCACTCTCTCCACAACTGCCCCATCCACTCATGGGGAGTTATGGGGATGGGAGTATTTGATAATGTATAAAACACCCAGCCAAGTGCTATGTTTTGGTGGGGCTGATGGTAAGGCCCCAGGTTCAACAGCAGCGCCTCCAACTCCTTCTCAGAGTGAGCAATAATCAACAGATCTTTTTCGATTTAAAGCTTTCGTGACTGCAGGGATTCATATTCTTGGTTCTTTCGGTAAAGCCACGTATTATTTTATTATTATTTTCCTTCTACGTGACTTTACCGAAAGAACCAGGAAGATGACTCAACAGATCATCAGCATACGTAACATGGTTAATTAATAGGGAGCCATCTCTTTACCCGGGCATCGATCAGCCTCCCATTGTATATGTGTGGTGGTCAAGGTTGACACCAAGGTTGACACAGGTCACACAGGTCACACAAGCTAGGGGAGAGGTACGTACCGGTCTGGACCGGTCCGGACCGGCAGAGACGAGAGGTGGTTGGAACCGCTCTGAGGGGAGGGGGCTGGCGAGAGCCAGGGCCCCGAGACACCCCCGCCCCTCAGAGAGAAGGGATATAAGACGGCTCCCGAAGAGCAGGGGGGGGGCCATCTCACCAGAAGCTGAAGGAGGTGCGGCCGGAGATCCTGGATGCCGCCCCGCTGGGACTGAGTGGGCTGACTAGCTGTAGGCTAGTCGACGAAGCTAACCTTTCCTCGCTGGGGGCGGCACATTACCTGCACACAGAGTTGCTCCTCCAGCGGGATGGGCAGGTGGCGGCGTGCGCCGCTGCAAGAGTTGACGAGGTCCCGGATACCCAGGCCTTCGCGTCGCAGCGGGCCGCCAGTTGGAGGGGGGCCGACCGGCCTCGCCAAGGGGAACCCCGGCGGAGACACGGATCCCCGCGGGCGTGGGCTCGCGTCACGTGCTACAACTGTGGCCAGCTGGGTCACCTGGCATCGGGTTGTCCAGCACCCCGGCGCCGGGCTCCGGGTCGTCCACCATCGTCCGCCCATCCGCCGGCCGCTCCACAAGAACCCCAGGCATGTCGCGACACCTCACGCACATGGTGCCTGCCCGCATCTCATACACCACGAATCGGCGCGCCACTAAATCGCGTTGCGTTGAGGGGTGGGGAGCGGAACGGGGCTGATGTTCGGGGGCCACTTCGCGCGGTTCAGTGGTCCGAGTTGACCCACAGGGTCGTGGCCACGGCGACGGGCTCGTCGGTTATTCTCGGGGATATTGAGGGGATTCAATTTCGATTGTTGGTCGATACGGGGGCTTCGGCTACTATAATTTCCGACCTCATATACAACGTGTTACCAAAGAGATGTCAGGCACTCGCCCCGTTCTCCGTCCCTTGTTTTGGGGCGAATGGGGGTTCCCTGGGGATTATTGGCCAAATAACTGCACAAATTTGTATTGGCGACATTAAATTATCTGGTCCCGTTTTGGTTTCCGATGCCTTGGCCGTTCCCTGTTTGTTGGGTACGGACTTCTTGGGGAGGATGCCCATCAAAATTTTAATTGACAAAGGCTGCATCGAGCTTCCTTCGGGCCGCCGGATGGCATTTCTGCCCTCACCAAACCGGCTGCGCACGGCTTGCGCGACTGTTCCGGCTATGGCGTCTGAAACCGTGCGGATTCCGCCGGGTGCGCAGATGCTAATACCGCTTCAGTTACGCAAACCACTGGAGGAAGACGCTACGTCGGGGGTTTTGTTGTCTCCTTCCAATACGACCGAGCAAGCGTTGGACCTGGTGGGTGCACAAACGCTTGTGCCTAGAGATGGACAGCCCTTCATTCTATTGCTGAATGCGGGGTTGCGGACGAAGGTCGTGCACCGAGTGGCTGTGATTGCATATGCATCGCTGCCGCTGCACACTGACTCCGTCGCGGCTCATGTCGGTGAGGCGCCGGCGTCCGGGACACAGGGGGGTGTCGATGAGGTATGGATGGATGCTCTCTGTTCAGGGGCTGAAAATTTTTCCGAGTCACAAAGATTAAAGCTGCGCATGTTGCTTCGTAAATTTCCCGATGTTTTTAGCAAACACAAATTCGATGTTGGGTGCACTAATCTATTTAAACACCACATTGATACGGGGGATTTCGCCCCCATTCGGCAAAATGCGTTCCGATTGAGTCCGGCAGAGAAGGAACATGTCCGTTGGCAGTGAATGACATGCTTGCCGCAGACATTGTGGCTCCCTCCAACAGCCCATGGGGTGCGCCGATTGTGCTTGTTAAAAAACATGATGGCAGTTTGAGGTTTTGTGTGGATTTTCGGAAGCTTAACAAGGTTTCGCTGGCGGACGCGTATCCGCTCCCTCGCATGGACGAGTCGCTCGATGCCTTGGCGGTGGCGCGGTATTTTTCAACCTTGGACCTTTTGTCGGAGTTTTGGCAACTGCCCTTGGATGAGGCTTCCAAACCTAAGACCGCGTTCCGTACGCCACAGGGCCTTTATCAGTTCAATCGGTTGCCCATGGGATTGCACTCAGCTCCAGCGACGTTCCAGAGATTGATGGAACTGGTCCTCGCTGGCCTGCAGTGGGACTCTTGTCTTATATATCTGGACGACGTGATTATTTTCAGCCGTACGTTTGAGGAACATCTGGACAGACTGCGGGCTGTATTTCTCAGAGTGCGATCGACTAACCTTAAATTTAAGCCTCAGAAATGTTTCCTGTTGCGTGAATCGGTGCGGTACCTCGGCCACGTTGTCAGTTCTACGGGTATAGCCACCGATCCTGCAAAAACTGACTGTGTAAGAACGTGGCCTACGCCAACGTCTGTGGGGGAAGTCCGCAGCTTTATAGGCTTTGCTTCCTATTACAGCCGGTTTGTTGAGGAGTTTGCGACGATCGCCAAACCCCTTCATGCTCTGACGGCTAAGGGGGCTAAATTCCATTGGGGGGAAGAGGAAGACAGGGCGTTCAGGGCGCTTCGCGATGCCCTTGTCCGAGCTCCTCCCTTATGCTATCCCGATTTCACGTTGCCCTTCATCCTGGACACCGATGCCAGAAATACCGGCATCGGCGTGGTGCTTTCGCAGGTTGTCAACGGGGTCGAACGGGTCATTGCCTACGGCAGTAGAGTCCTGTCTCCGGCAGAACAACGTTATTGCGTCACCCGCCGTGAACTGCTCGCTATTGTCGTGTTTGTTCAACAATATCGACCGTACCTGTATGGTAGGCATTTTACAGTTCGTTCCGATCATGCCGCGCTACAGTATGCGTTGAAAATAGACCAGCCGTCCGGCCAGCTGTCACGTTGGCTTGAGGTCCTACAGGACTACACGTTCATGGTTGTGTACCGGAAGGGGACACAACATTCAAACGCGGATGGCTTGTCACGGCTTCCTCGGGGTGATGGGTGCACGTGTTTTATGGGCTCGGGGAGATGCAAATCGGCCACGAGTACCGCTTCGGCTTCTCCCTTGGCGGCGACAGCAGGGGTGGTCGATGGGGAACCTGTCGCCGAGGGGGACTCGCAGGTGTTGGTCGCTCGCGACTCGCTCCTCGATCTGCCTCTGGACGAATGGGGACGGTTCCAGATGGAAGACAATTCCCTCCTCAGGTTACGCCGTCGTGCGGAGAGAGGGGGAGATTGTCAGGAAAGGGTAGGTACTGTCAGGTTGCGGGAGGGTCTCCTCATGTCATGGGACGCCAGCTCGGGGCGTTACAAAATCGTCGTCCCCACCGCTCTGCGGGGCAGGGCCGTGTGGGCGGCGCACGAACGCATCCTGCATTTGGGTATTCACAAAACGCTCGCTACACTGCAATTGGATTTTTTTTGGCCGAGAATGGCGCACGATGTCGCCGACCTTTTGAATAGTTGCACGCAGTGTGCGCGGCGGAAACACCCGGCTAGGGCGGCTTGCCCACCCCTTCAGTCCATTCAGGTGTCCCGGGTTAACGAGTTGGTGGCTCTTGACATTCTGGGTCCCTTCCCTGTCACCGCTCGGGGTAATAAGTACCTGCTGGTTGGGGTTGAATATTTCACCCGTTGGCCTATGGCCTGGCCCCTCCCCAACCAGTCGGCGGCAGCCATTGCGGAGGCGTTTCTCCAGGGCTACGTCCTGGATAAGGGCGCCCCGGAACGGCTGCTAACCGACCAGGGAAAGAACTTTCCCCCTACCACCCGCAGACCGATGGTATGGTCGAACGTCTACACCGGACCATTACCTCTATGTTGTGTCATCAGGTAGACGACACACAGTTGGATTGGGACCTGAGGATTCCCGGAGTTCTGGCCGCATATAGGTTGGCGCCTCACGCGGCCACGGGCTATTCGCCCTTCTACTTAATGTACGGCAGGGATGTCGACCCCCCCATGGAG